GTAAAAGGTCTCTCTCCATCTTTCTTATAAACCCTATTTAGCAGCAACGTTTTCCCGGAGCCTCTTCAACTGAACAACCTCATCTCTCTAAGCCTTTTTTTCCATTCTCGTGTCCCTCCTCTGGACGCGCTCTGACACGTCCATATCTTTCTGAGAATCACAGAATCATTTAAAGTGGAAAAAACCTTTAAGATCATCAATCCCAACCGTTAACCCAACACTGCCAAGTCCACGACTAAACTGTGTCCCTGAGCGCCGCATTGACACGGCTTTTAAATCCCTTCAGGGATGGTGATTCGACCACTTCCCTGGGCAGCCTGTTCCAAGGCTTGATAACCCTTTCCGTGAAGGAATTTTTCTTCATATCCAAGCTAAACGTCCCCTCAACTTGAGGCCATTCCCTTTTGTCCTGTCTCTGGTTCCTTGGCTCCAGAGACTCATCGCCCCTCTCTGCACCCTCCTTTCAGGGAGTTGTAGAGGGCCATGAGGTCTCCCCTCAGCCTCCTCTTCTCCAGACTAAACCTCCTCCAGTTCTCTCAGCCTCTCCTCACAGGACTTGTTCTTCACCAGCTTCATTGCCCTTCTTTGGAGACACTCTAGCACCTCATTTTCTTCACTTTGCTGGGTCAAAAACTGACTGATGGCCGAGCCCAAAGTGTTGTGGTGAACGGAGTTAAATCCAGTTGGTGGCCAGTCACAAGTGGTGTCCCCCAGGGCTCGGTTTTGGGGTTGCTCCTTGTTAACATCTTTATTGATGATCTAGACGAGGGGATTGAGTGCCCCCTCAGTCAGTTTGCAGATGACACACAGTTAGGTGGGAGTGTTGATCTGCTTGAGGGTAGGGAGGCTCTGCAGAGAGAGCCCAGTTGGTCAGGTGAATCCCATCAGCTCCCAACAGACCTGGCTTCTCAAGGGTAGACCCAAATTCTCAAGGGTAGATACAATTTCACAAGATAGATCTGGCTCTGCAAGCATAGACCCGGCTTCTCAAGGGTAGATCCATGATCATAGAAGCCCAAACCTTGAGTATGGCACCAGCCACACGGATAGATGCTCCAGTCCCGTCATCATCTTCCCTCCCCAGTACATCCGTGTCTCTCTTGTACTGGGGACCCTACAACTGTACAGATCTCTGGAGTAAAGCGTGAGTCAGGTGGTGTTTGGAAGCTGCTGGGAACGTGCGGCAGGACATGATCCATTTCCCTGTTGTGTCTTTGGCGCATTACAGATATTGGAAAAAGTTAAAACGGTTGGGAAGTTGTACCTGGAGCTTCTCAACATTGGCAACATCCTATTCATTGACTGGAAGGCTGACATCTACTGCAACCCTGAGCACCAGGTGAAGGTCTACCTGGAGTTTGGAATTGCTAATATCCTTGTTCAGAGCACAAGACCCCTCCTGGAGGAGCTGGACAGCCTCTCGAAGGCAATGGAGCATTGTCTGGTGGAGTGGAAGAAGTACCTGGAGACTCAAAGGGACACCTACTACCATATCAACCTGTTCACTGTGCACCAGATCTTCTATTTGTGCAGCCAGCTGGCCCGAGTCCAGAAAGGCATCGTAGAACCGCAGGTGCTCATATTGCTTTCTGCCATCAAGCATGACATCAGCGGAGAAGATATCAATAAAGCCCTGGGGGATGTGCTGATGACTCCTCTGGACTCGGTGAACACCTCGGCGGGAGACGAGGAATCAGTGACCTGGCACGACTACGTCATCCGTTTCCCCCAGTTCATTAAAAGTTTGGCTGAATCAGGCTACGACGAGGCGGTGGCCAAGGCGGCTTTGCAGAGCTGCCTGGACAACCCGCCCATCACGGAGCAGATGCTCATGGACTTTGCCTTCAAGCATGGTGACAACCAGGAGAAGGTTGAAGAGCTCAGCAGGTTATATGAGGAAGCGAGAGAAACCTTCCTGCAGCAGAGACGGAAATTTAAGACGGGGAACAGAGACGTCGACCAGGTTTCCTTTGGCGCCCTGGTGGACGCTGAGTTGGCCGCCTCGTTTGAGAGTTTGCCGTCTCTTTACGACAAGGTGAATCTGCTCTGGGACGCTTACTGTAAGAAATTTGCTGCCTTGGTGTCTGATAAATACATCGGTTTGGATGTTTTTGGGGAGACGCTGAAGCGCTTGGCCGCTCTAGAGAGTGCCCGTGTGGAGAGGAGCTTGCCCGTAGGCTTCGAAGAGGGGAAACCGCTTCTCATCCTGTGTAAAGAAGAGGAAATGTTACCCAACATGTTGCTCCTCTACCGACATACCGAGACAGCCCCTCTCCCCTCGTACGACGAGGTCCTGGTGTGCACCCCCGACACGGAGGAGGAGGAGGTGGAGCTGCTTCTCAGGAGAGCTCTGTCCCCAGGTTCCCCAGACCAGAAGATCTACTGCCTGCTGGGCGCCGATAAATTAAATTGTAAAGTTTCCAAACAACTTGAGTCGCACTTCTTCTGCCTGGTGCAGTCTGCCAGCATCCCCAACTACAGATTTATCATCTTCTGCAACGCCAAAGCTCACAACTCCTATGTCATCACGGCCTTTGATGCCTTCAAGGTGACGTTATCAAGGCACTCCGAGGCAGAAACCTGGAAGTACTTGCAGGGGCACCTCAAAGTGCCGAGTGGGACGGCCCCCGTGGCTCAGGCCTTTGAGGAGCCCCAGCAGCAGAACGTGAAGTTCATCTTCTCGGAGCAGGCGAGAATGGGTGAGTTGTTGGGGAGGCGGATCCCGAGTCGGAGCTCAAAGGAAGGAAGCGAGGTGGCACAACGAGCTTGTAGGGAGAGGATTGTGTGCTCTTACGGAGAGATACTGAGCTTTTAGGGAGGGATTTTGTGCTTCAGGGAGAGATTTTACACTTTTAGGGAGATTTTGTGCTTTTAGGGAGAGATTTTACACATTTGGGGAGAGATTTTGTCCTTTTTGGGAGGGATTTTGCATTTTTAGGGAGAGATTTTGTCCTTTTTGGGAGGGATTTTGCGCTTTTAGGGAGATATTTTGTCTTTTTATGTAGAGATTTTGTACTTCTACAGAGAAGTTTTGTGCTTTTAGAGAGAGATTTTCCACCTTTAGGGAGAGATTTTCTGTTTTTACAGAGGGATTTTGCAGTTTTAGGGAAGGATTTCATGCTTTTAAGGAGAGATTTTGACTTTTAGAGAGGAATTTGTGCTTTTAGGGAGGGATTTTTTGCTTTTAGGGAGAGATTTTGCGCTTTAGTGAGAGATTTCCTTGGTTTGGGTCGCGTGCAAGTGTAGAAGGGCGGATTGATTCAAAATTTTCTCTTCTGCTCCTTAGGGAAATCTCTTTTTGTGGAGAACACCCTCAGGAAGGTCCGTGCCCAGCTGGGGAACAAGCTACTGCTTCATAAAACCATTCGGCTGATGGAGTCAGAGGTTGATTTCCAGTTCTTCGTGGAGGAACTCTTCTCCATCAAGGAGTCCATGTCCGAAATCCAGCCCATCATCTTCCACATCGATGTATCTCCAGTGGTGAGTGCTCAGATCTTCACCTGGACAAGAAGAGGTGGTGCAAGTCAGCACCCGCACGCACCAGGAGGGAAAGGAGGTGGAAACTCAAATCCAGCCTAATCTGAGCAGCAAGCACCAATTTTAATTTGTTTGTTGTTTTTTTTTTTTTCCTCTGCCAGGTATCGAAGGGTCTCTACCGGCTGCTGATTGATCTGTGTGTCCTGCGGCACATCCAGAGCCCTGATGGCTTGGTCTGGAAGTGCAAACCCTCCCATCTTTACTTGATCGAGTACCTGGCAAGAGGGAAAGGTCTGAGAAGTACGAGGAAGAAAGAGGTATTTTGGGAGGAGCCATTAAGGCTGAGCATGAGTAAAACCCACTTAACTCTGATGCCTCCGCCAGAGCGATGCCCAGTTTAGAGTCTGTCTCTCAGCAGGGCGATCTCTCACCTACATAGAAGCAACAAGGTCAAATGTATCTTGACTCATGAAATATCAGGCCCTGTGCTGACTGTTGGAGGAAAAAGGGAGCTTTTTCATCCCAATTTTGATGTAGCTTGAACCTCCTGCCTGTTTTTAAAGCCGATTTGCATTAAGCCATGCTTTAGAGCTACTAAAGGTGGGAAATGCAACCCAGATTCACTCGTGGTGGATCATCTGCCTGTGTTTCCTCACCATGCCTTGAATAGTGACTGAGTTCAGGTCCCTCCATCTCTGCGAGGATTTGGTGGAACAGAAGAAAGCGTAGGAGAAGGTAATGAGACCACCCAACCCAATACAGGGCCCAGGGTAAGACCGACCTTAATGGTTATAGGGATTTCAATCCACATGCAGGCTTGGAGAAATTTTGCTATTCCTACATTTTTTCCCCCCCAGCTTTCTAAACCATTTGTGACCAGGGGGAAATTAAAAAAAAAGGTTTTTTTGCCATGTAGGCAAATGTGGGAGTTTGGAGAAGGGTCCTCGTGGTGATTTGTGTCCTCTGGCTTTTAGATGTCCCTTGAAATGGAGGAAAAATTCCTGAATCTTTTTCCTACCGTGGAGTGTGTATCGCCGCAGCGGGTGCTCGAGTTGCTGGAAGATCCCAGCTCTGTCTCTCCTGCAAAACTGAGGGAGGAGCAGTTTGACCGGACCAAGCTGAAAAGTGATGTTTTCCAAAGGTCCTACCAATATCTTAGCAGATACAAGCAGAATAAGAACCTCGACCATTTCACTTTTACCCCTGGGAGCATTGAAGGGACAGAGAGGGAATGCCTGGCGTGCCTGATGGAGTTCTGTGGGAGAAGCAGCCCCTCCTGGACCGAGCTCAGCAACTTCACTCACTTCTTGAACTTCCAGCTCCAAAAGTGTGAGAAATCGGTCTTCTGCAGCCGGGTGGTCGGAAAGGAGTTCAGCGGCTTCAAAACATTCGTCGTCAAGTTCATGATCGCCATGTCCAGGGACTTTGCCATGCCTTCCCTCAACATGTCTGACGAGAGCGTGCCCAGCAAGGAGCGGAAGGAGACGGACAGTGTTTTGGAGGAGTATCAGCTCCGACGCAAGTGGGAGCAGGAGTCTCACCCTTACATCGTCTTCCACGCTGAGGGTGACTCCATGGAGTTTCTGGGTTTCCACATCAACCGGAACTTGGATGCTATTGATGCTTATTCCCAGACTGTTTTGGAGAGGGCGGTTATGACAAGGAGTTTATACATGACCTTGGCGTGGCAAAATGTTCCTTTTAATAAGAAATTTGAAACCTTACCCAGAAATGAGCAGTTGAAAGCCCTCTGCAGGGTCTTCGGCGTGAAATACTGGAAGGATCCAGATCCCTCATACCAGTTGACTCTGGACAACACCATGAAGATGTTGGCCATCCACTTGCGGTTCCAGTGCGGCATCCCCGTCATCATCATGGGTGAAACGGGCTGCGGGAAGACAAAACTGGTGGAGTTCATGTGCAACCTGCAACGGGCCGACCGAGACCTTCAGAACATGCTGGTGGTGCGTGTTCATGGCGGCACCACCTCCAAGACCATCCAGGAGAAGGTGAGGCAGGCCGTGGCGCTGGCACGCGCCAACGAAGAGCACGGTGTGGACACGGTGCTGTTCTTTGACGAAGCCAACACCTCGGAGGCCATCTTTGCCATCAAGGAAGTGCTGTGTGATCACAGCATCAATGGAGCGCGGATTTCCTCCGACCGTTTAAAAGTGGTGGCCACCTGCAACCCTTACAAGAAACACACCCAGGAGACCATCGAGAAACTGGAGAAAGCGGGTTTGGGATACCGAGTGCGGAGCGAAGACACCCCGGAGAAGCTGGGTTACATTCCTTTGCGGCAGTTGGTGTATAGGGTGCAGCCCCTTCCTCCCAGTTTATTGCCTCTGGTTTGGGATTTTGGGGAGCTGAACGAGAAGACACAAAGCCTCTACATCAGGGAGATGGTGAAAGCCGCCTTGGAGACTGAGATCCCTGTGGGAAACCTTGACGTCTTCACTGCCGTCATTTCAACCTCCCAGAAGTTCTTGAGGGAGAGGAAGAACGAATGCAGAGTCGCCAGCCTCCGGGACATCGCCCGCTTCATGAAAATAGTGCTCTGGTTTTATAACCGAAGAGACCTCCTCTTCCACCAGATCGACGAGAAGAGGCGGTACATGAAGGCGGAGGAGCCGACCTTGACCGACGCGCAAAGGGCTCTGGTCCTTTCTGTGGGGGTCTGCTACTATGTGTCCCTGGAAAGCCGCCAAGACTATCTGGAGGAGGTCGCAAAATCCTTCTCGGTCGCCGCCTCCTGGCTCCAGCAAGAGATTGAGTTGTGCCAAGAGGTGTTTCTCGATCACATCTCCCTTCCTAAGGCCACGGCCTGCAACAACGCCCTGAGGGAGAACATCTTCATGATGGTGGTCTGCATGGACCTCCGCGTGCCGCTCTTTCTGGTTGGGAAGCCGGGAAGCTCCAAATCTCTTTCCAAAACCATTGCTGTAGATGCCATGGAAGGCATGTTGTCCAGAAGCCCGTTGTTCAAAAGATGCAAAGAGATCCAGCTGGTCTCCTTCCAATGCAGCCCCCATTCCAAACCAGAAGGCATCATCTCCACCTTCCAACAATGTGCCCAGTTGCAGAAGGGCAAGAACCTGGATGAATTTGCGTCTGTGGTGCTGCTGGATGAGATCGGCCTGGTCGAAGACTCGCCCAATATGCCCTTGAAGACGCTGCATTCTCTTCTGGAAGACGGATGCGTTGATGATGAGACCCCGGAGGATTACAAGAAAGTTGGCTTTGTGGGCATCTCCAACTGGGCCTTGGACCCTGCCAAGATGAACAGGGGCCTCCTCGTTTTTTGGACTGAGCCTAGCAAGGAGGAGCTGGTGAAGACGGCTGAAGGCATCTGTGCTGACCAACCTCACTTTCAAAGAATCAAGTATTTGTTCCCCATTCTGGCAAACTTCTACTGCAACGTGCTGCAAAGGCAGAAAATGGAGTTCTTTGGGCTGCGTGACTTCTACAGCTTAATCAAAATGATCGTGTTCTACATGCAGGACCAGAAGTGCCATTCTCAAGAGGAGCTCCTCGTAAAGGCCATTCAGAGAAACTTTGGAGGCTCCAGAGATATCAACCCCATGGCGATCTTCCGCGAGTGCACCAGCGAGATGCAGCTTCCCTTCGAGATGGAAACCAGCTGCATCCGCCTGCTGGAGGAGAACATGGAGAAGCAGCGAGCGGGGTTCATGTCTCGTTACCTCCTCTTGCTGACGACCAACAACGCCGCCTTGCGGATCATCCAGATGACCGGGCTTATAGATGCCAGCAACTGTGACATCATCTTTGGCTCCAGTTTCCCACGGGACCAGGATTACTCCCAGGTGTGCCGCTCCATGAACAGGGTGAAGAACTGCATGGAGATCGGCAGGCCCGTCGTCCTCCTCAACATCCAGAACCTCTACGAGAGCCTTTACAATACCCTCAGTCAGTGCTTTGTTAGCCTGGGGGGGAATTATTATGTTGACCTGGGCCTCCTTGGCACTCACCGGGCGAAGAGCCGCGTGAAGGAGGAGTTCCGGCTGGTCATTATAGAGGAGAAGAAGGTGGTTTACACGCAGTTCCCCACCCCTCTGCTCAGCCGGCTGGAGAAGCATTGCTTGGACACGACCACCCTCCTCTCCTGGCAGCAGCGAGACCTCAAGTGGGACCTGGAGAACTGGGCTGAATGCTTTGTCCACATCGAGAACCCCGATTCATTCAGTGCCTGGTCCCATGCCCTCGCTCCCAAGGAACATGACATCTTCATCGGCTTCAGTGATGACACCTCTGCCGCCATCGTGCTGGACAGTTCCCAGCATCTCCTCTGCAGCGGCTTCGAACGCTACGGCCAGTCGGTCTTCGCCGCCGCCACCAGCAAACTGGTGGAATGTGCCACTCCAGACTCTGTCCTTCGCCTGAAATACTCCGCTCTTGAGGACGCCGAGCAGATCCAGGAGCTTTATTTCATTGAGCAGAAGCACAACAGCCTGACCAGCCTATTGCATGAGGCGATGAAGCAGCAGAAGGAGGAAGGCAGCACTGCCGGGCTCTGCCTCCAGGTTGGAAAGCACCCAAGGGTGCTGGTTTGTTTTTTTTTTTTAACCAAATGAGCATGGTGGCCCCATGATCTTCATTAAGCCAGGACCATGATGGGCTTAATGTCCACCTTCTGCAGATTCTGCCCTTCCTCGGGAGGTGGATGGGATCTGCTCGGGCTGAGAAGCTTGAGGCACCTCCCTGCTGCCTGGAGATGAACACCCAAGCAGCCACCCGGGGGATCCCACCCATTTGAAACCACTTTTCCCTTTTGGATGCAGGTTTCTACCCATGCCAGGCTCTTGAACCAGAAGGATTTAGAAATGCTGAGGAAGACACTCGACCTCCCAGACACCATCCACTGCCTCTTCCTAAGCCAGTTTGACACCGAACGGGCTTTCCGCCAGGACCTCAGGTGGGTTCTCCCCTTCCCTTCCCTTCCCTTCCCTTCCCTTCCCTTCCCTTCCCTTCC